TGTGATATTGAAATAGTATATGATGTTACACAGCAGGAAACATTTGCAAATCTATCAATATGTTGATTAGAAAAAAAAAAGGATCCTCTTGATTGACTTCCCTGGAATTGGTGACCAGAATAGCGACTCTAAAATAGATATTGTACTAATAGGTGTGGTACGTACGTTTAGTGAGACTGGAGATGTTTCATTGTGTTTTCCATGTTTATTTGCTATTTTGTTATGTCATGTGTATTTGAATGTTGATTATTTTTTTCCTCTTTCAGGTACGGGTCATAAATATGGAGGATGCTTCTGAACATTATGAAGAAGTTAAGAAGGATGTAAAGAAGGAACACTGGGAAAAAGCATAGAAGAAAAGTCCTGATCAATTCGGTGTGCCTAGTACTGTGACTGGATTTCTGGTTGCAGAAGCTGCACCAGTGGTTCCGTGCTTGGATTTCTCGTTGCAGCTGGAAAATTTATAATAGATCCAGATCAAGCTCCAAGAGGGCAAGTAAAACCAATTGCTCATCTTCACATGATTCTAAAGCTCAAATTGTTACTCAATGATGACATGCAAGATGGAATGGTTGGGCAGCCTGGTTTGAATTTGTAAGCAAGAAAGGAACTAAAGCCTCATTGACAGAAATTTCATTTTCTACATTTGCCATTTCGACATTATAGATTGTTGAATACCTGCACCAACTGAAAAGATGGGAACATTTTTTTTTTCTTGACCAAAAGTATGAGTGTTGTGTGAGTCAATTAACGCTAAACAGTACCAATTTGTTTGCAATTGGTAAGATATGTAACATACATCTTTTTAGACCATCCTCCTGAACCAGAGACAAGTTAAAAATGAAAAATCAATAATTTAAATTTATGCCCTTATGGTTTATTTTATTACTATTTATTAGATTATTCTCTCGTTATCCCTTGTGTAATTTAATCATAAAATATTCCAATTATAACTTCCTATAAATTAGCTTCTAGAACTACTCGTGTCTTTTCTTGGGGTACTCATGCTCACCAGGAAGGGATATGGTTGATTAGATCTGGAAACTAATAAACTGATTATTTCGTCACATGTTTCCTTCGATGAAACAAATTTTCCATATCAACAAATTACACAGTAAACTCAACAACCCAATCCACCCACATTTTGGTCACCTTTCCATTTCCCAGATAATTTTTCCTTCAGCACACCTATCAAAATTTTGCACCAACCAAACACCATTAATGAACGAACCGGCCCAACAACATGACCAAGCCCACCAGAAATTTCCACATCCAATCCATTCGCCCCATTATCTAAAAGTGCATTTTGGTTGACTTGTACCTGTAATTGAAGGGAAAATATGCAGTGTTCTGACATGATTAAAGATGATCATATAAATTTTAAGTTAAAATTTTAATTTGGTCCCTCAACTATTGTATAGATCCTCAATTTAGTTTTTAAACTAAAAAAATCTTTAATTTGATTTCTACTATTTACTAATTTGATCTTAAGTCGGTCCTTACATACAAAAACAAATGACATGCCTCATTGTTAATGTAATACGTGGTAGTTAAATAACGATTTTTCACCTTTAAATAATGGACACATCAGCTATATTTTAATAAAAGGATTAACTTGTGGTCAAATTAGTAAGTAATAGAGACTCAAATCAAGGGTCCGTACAATAGTTGAGGAATTAAATTGGAGTTTTTTTAAGTTTAGGGACCAAATTCAAAATTTGTTCAATAGTTGAGAAACCAAATTAAAAGTTTAACCTAAATTTTATTTTTGGCCATATAATTATTTTGATCATACAAATAACATCATACAAACTTAGATTATTACACATCAATCAAATTAAATTAGTGTAATTTAGAGGTTGGATCCCAAATTAGACAAATACTACTCGTCCATTTATTAAATAAACGGATCTAATTTAATTTTTTAATTTTTTAGTATAAAATTTAAATAAAAATTTA